GAAATATTTTATAATATATATTGTAATGGCATATCTTATCTTGCCTTGGATATTGGGGTCGGGTGGGATTTGGAACAGATGCCATATACCCGTCATAAGAACGCCGAACAGATAATTCATTCATCGTCTCATTTTCAAAGCAATTGAAGAGGTTTTTGAATTCGTTTTCCTTCTGCGTCTCGAAGCGCCCCACCCTTTTGTCTCCCCTTCTTGCACCGTTTCCATAATATAATTAGATTATTAAAATATTATCTAATTATATAGATGGATGGATATATTAGAGACATTGATTTTATTGAAGATAGAATTGTTGATGATGCTAAATTCCCAGTTGTTGAAAATAACAAAATTAAAATCTGTTGTAAATACTCACTTGAAATACTTAAAATTGTGATTTATAATGTAAAACACTATATAGATGCCACCAAAAAAGAAAAGCAGTAAATTTAAGAAAGAACCTATACCCGAGGATTATGAATTATCAGATGATGAACCCAAAATGGTAAATTTAAGTAAGGAACAAAAATTGAAAAGCAAAGATATTGTCTTTGAATGCCCTTTATGTCAGGGAAAATTACAGTTGAGGAATGAAATTGAAATCAACCCCAAAGGCATAACCTGTCGTTGTAATCCGTGTAGTTTCAAACTGACTAAAAATGATAAGACTATGAATGTCAGTAAGGATGATGAAGGGGGGATTACATTGGATAGTCAAGACCACAGCATCTCGTTTGCTTTCAATAGAATTATTACTCCTCCAACAGAAGATGAAAGATATAGAAATGATATGATAAAAGATGTTATGAATACACCACGGAACAGCAAAAAACAGATGATGTCTGAAATGGATTGAAACGAAACCATTTAAAGAGTAGTTGTTCTATCAACTCCAACTCATAAATAAATAATTAAATAAATTAATTTCTAAATAAATAAATAAATAGTAATGTCAAGTGGAGATGAGAGCAAGACTGAAATGAAAGAGTTGATGGATAAATTCAACAAATACGCTAAACAGGTGAAACTGGTTCTGGCAAAACTTGAAGAAATTGACAAGAAAGTAGGACAAAACTATTACTATTTAGATGATGATAAGAGGGGTTATTTACGCCACGAATTGTGAAAGGTGTAAGGCTTGTTCATGCTGATGTGTTGTTGCTTCCAGTGCTTGCCATCACTGTCGTTAAGGCTCAACAATATCAAACTGCACTGCGCTGATGCTTCAAGTAAGATCATGATTCAAAGTCAGGAGGAGTAAGAGCTGTTGCAGGAATACGAGCTGTTGCTTTTCAAGACTTTGTTGTAGCAATGGTTGCCTTGCGCAATGCTCGTGTTCGGCGCTATGTCCTTCTTTGCCATTTCTGCGTTAATTTCGCAGCGCGAACCTTACAGTTCTCTGCCCTGCCGCCGAATACAAAGCTGTTGAAGGACGTGGAGCACAATGAGATGCCAAACTGGATTCGTGAGCAAATGTGTGATTTGGGGTATGATAAAGGCGTCTCAGACAACATGGCCAAGGCGCTCTCATTTTACAGCCCTTCGGCCTTGGTGGAGGCTTCTCGAGAGAGTTTGCTGGGTGCGCTGCAACAGACATTCCCAGATGATGCACAGCGGATGATCATGGCCCAAAGCCTTTATGACCGCATTCAGAAGGGCATTACCCAACCACAACCCGTTTCTCGGCAAAGATTGGTTTCAGTTGTTGCCCGAGTTCGTTGTGTTTTGTTTCGATTGTTTCTCGTTGATGTGAGACAGCGTTTATGTTTCTGTGGCTGCTTTGCTTGGTTTCAGGTTCAGAGCGATGTTCCCGAGAATGTCAAGGCCTTCGCACGAGCTTTGGATGATGCAGAGCTGGAAGGGCAAATTCTCAGAACGGAAACGGGCAGTTTCAAGTTAGAACAGGACTCTGAAATTTGGGACGAAAAGCAGTTCTACGTGCGGGACTGCTACAAAGAGATTGCCGACATCATGTTGAAGAAAAAACCTCCTAGGATGTCTTTGCTGGGCTCGTCTGGGATCGGCAAGTCCAATTTTATGGTATATTTAATCTGGCGTCGCTTCCAAGACAGTGAGCTTAAAGACTTCCCAGTTTTTCTGCACCAGAGGGACATCATCCATCGGTTTCAGAAGGGCGAAGAGCCAAAGAAGGTCGATGCCGATACTTTGTATTCAGCCTCTGCACAAGCTTTGTATATCATGGATGCCGACATTGATGTGGAACATTGGGTCTTTTGCCAGTCTTTGTGGATTACCTCTGCGCGGAGGTCCAACACCGAACATTTTAAGAAGGCCGAGCGCTTTTCTGGGCAGTGCTTTATGCCACCATGGACGTTGACGGAGATGCTGAGTGCAGAGGTCATGGCCTTACACAAGCTGAATGAGGAGGTTGTCAAGGAACGCTTCGGCATCTTTGGTGGCACTGCGAGGCTTGTTTTGGAGAGGGACGAGACAAGGGCAGAGAAATACAAGGAGAGGCTCGTTGAGGCCGTGCAGTCAGCAGATGCGCTGCAATCCCTGAAAGTATCGTCTGACATGAAAGCCATAAGCAAGACGACGCATTTGCTGGTGAAGATGCACCCAAAGCGGGAGTTCAGCTGGTTTGATGTGCAGTTGTCGTCTCCCTATGTTCGGCAAGAGCTGGTGAAGCGAAACAGAGCAAAACGAGCCCAAGCTCTTTGGGATCGTATTGATGATGGGATGATTACGGGCATCGGTTTTGCATTGTTTGAGGAAGAGTTCCACCAGTTCATGCAGGACAAGTCCATCGGCAAGTTCAAGCTCCGAGCCAGATGCTTGACAGCTGAGGGGAAGGGGTCTGATACAACACAGGAACTCCAAGGTGGTCTTGAAGGAGTGCTGATTTCGGGCAATCCCGCAGCAGACATCAAGGATGGCGAATACTACCAGCCGCAGAGCAAAAACTTTCCTGCCTTTGACTCATGGACCTCACAGGGCGTTTTTCAGCTGACGATTGCCGATACACATGACATCACCTTCAATGACAGTGGCAAGGCAATGGACGTGACGAAGACGCAGGCGTATAAGATTGTGGATGCACTTTGCAAGAAGCATGACAGCAAAGCCAAATTCTTCTTTGTCGTTCCGCAGTTTCAGTTTGATAAGTGGAAGACTGTGCAGACAGTGAAACAGCCAGAGATGGCTGAGAAGATTGAGCAATGGGTTGTGTGCTTTGAACAGAACCTTCCGAAGTGAAGTGGAGCAGCGCGCTCGTGACCAAAATGAGGAAAGTCCGACATCCCCCAGTTCGGGGTTATGGGTTTTTGGGTTTTTTCTATTAGGGTCTTACCCCACACCTCATTAGGATATTGGTTATAGAATGGACAAGGTTATGGGGTTGGGAGGTTCTTATGGTTTTGGGTTATGTTTTGGATTATTGTATTTGTTTTGGTGAGTTGCTTTGTTTTCGGGATTATTGTATTGGTTTTTGAGAGGTGCTTTGTGTTTTAGTGTTTTGGAAGGTTGATTTGTTAGGCGGGTTGAGAAATGGGTTGAAAGTGTAGGGGGGAGTGCAGGATGATTTTGTTCGGTGTTTTGGGCTTGGATGTAGTGTTGGGAGGTGCTTTGTGTATTGCGGGTTTTGTTGGGGTGCTTTGTTTTTGTTTTCTGTGTATGCTTTTGTTGTTGTCTATGTTGTTGTCTTTGTTTTGCTTTTGTTGTTGTCTATGTTGTTTTTCTTGCTGTTGTTTGTATGTATGCTGTGCTATGTGCTGTGTTGTATGCTGGGGTGCTTTTGTTTTTGCTTTTTGCAGTTGCTTTGCTGTTTTTCTTGTATTTGCTTTGTTATATGCTGTGTGAGATGCTATGCTGTGTGCTGGGGTGCGGTGCTGTGCTATGCTGGGGTGCCGGGGGTATCGGGTTATCTGATACTGGGATACTGGGGGTATCGGGGTATCTGATACTGGGATACCGGTGGGGTTGTGTCTGGGGTTTTCTTTGTTTGAAAACAATTTATTTTCATTGCTTGAGAATGCTTTTTAACCGTTTTCAGGGTCTGAAAATGCCGTTTTCATTGCCTGAAAATGGATACTTGCCGTTTTCAGGGTCTGAAAATGGAATTAGCGAGAACCCTGTTGAGGGGACAGGGAGAACCCTGTTGAGGGGACAGGGTTGCCCGAAAATGATTAAACCCCCTTCATAACGAGAATACCCTGTAAGGGGGACAGGGAGCACCCTGTTGAGGAAACAGTTTCAAACCTGTGAGGAGTACAGTTTCAAATCTGTGCGGGTACAGTTTCAAATCTGTGCGGGTACAGTTTCAAATCTGTTGGGCGACAGATTTCCCAAAAATGATTAGAGTTGCTTCTTAATGCCCTAAATCTGCCGAGGTACAGTTTCAAATCTGTGGGGGTACCGTTGCAAATCTGTCAGGGTACAGTTTCAGTTTTGCGAGTCTAAGATGGGATTATTAAAGGGTAGGGGTTTGTCTGTTTTTGTTTGTTGTATTGTTTTTTATATTGTTCTTTGCTTTGTTTGTTTTTTTGTTTGTTGGGTTGTTGTTTTGTTTTGGGTATTGCTTATTTGTTTGCTGTTTGGTTGCTTTGGTTTTTGTTCTTGTTGTTGTCTGTGTTGTTTTTTTTGTATGTGCTATGCTGGGTGCTGGGTTATGAGGTTTGGTGTGGGTCATGGTGTGTGCTGGGATGTGGGCGGGAGAAAAGATAGGATTATTAAAGGGTAGGGGTTTATCTTTATTGTTGTTTATTGTTTGGTTTTTTATGTTGTTCTTTGTTTTGTTTGTTTTTTTTGTTTGTTGGGTTGTTGTTTTGTTTTGGGTATTGCTTATTTGTTTGCTGTTTGGTTGCGTTGGTTTTGTTGATGGTTTGGGTGCGGGGGTGCGGGATTATATATATGCTATGCTGGGTGCTGGGATGGGGGATTATAAACATAGGATTACTATCTACTAACTTATATATATATATATATACTCGTTACGTTTACTCACCATTTACCAGGACCATCCACTGATGCCGTCATGATCACAGGCTGGAAAGGCAGGCGAAAGCGCAATCCGCCGAGAAGGTTGGCGAGAGCTACTTCTTCTGCATGGGAAGCCATGGTGATGGCGATGCTAAAAACCATCTTGACCATCTTGTATCTGGTTCAAGTCTTGCCAAATGGCACTGTAAGGGCTGTAAATGTTTAGAGATAAATGTTGTAAAGTTTGATGTTTCAGAACATGTATTCAAAAATCATGCTTTGTAGGGTATCTAGCGTTTGCCGTGTTAGAGCCAAGCTTGATCAAAGTGTTTTTGTTCAAGTTATTACCCATCGGCCGCCAAATGTCTGGCCTCAGTACATAGGGAACTGATACTCCCCGGCGGGCTTGGATTTTCGGCAAAGGGCTTACTGGCATATGCCAATATATCCAGTATTGTCAAATCTTGGAAACGACCCCATAGATCCCATGGCTTAGGTTTTTGATCATATTTCAAGACTGTGTATGTATGTTATATGTATATTTTTTGGGCAAAAAGACCAGCCTTCGTGAAGAATGCATGGATTTAGTTCACCACAGAGTTTTTGGATGGTTTTTCGCTGGGTCAATCTCGGGATACGGGACAGGAATGGTAGTTGAAGACGGTGTTACTTTTAGCCATGTTTACCCAGCTCAGAATCAATCGATGTTTGTGGGGTGAGAATGTATGGACTGCTACACCTGAGGTGAAAACCCGAAGGCCGAAAAGCAGGTTGGGGCTGGAACTTGACACGAAACGGCACATAGTGCTGTAGCAATACCAAGAAAGAAAGTATGTAAAACATGAGGTGAGATAACCCTTGCCCAGATAAGCTGTAATGACAATGGCGGCAACTGTACGGATAGACAGCAGCATCATGTCGTTTGTATATCAATTGCAGAAGGGACTCCTGTGGTGTCCCCACTGTGTAATGGCTGTGAGATGGGCTTCACTTTTCTGGCTGATTGTGGCCGCAAACCGCAGGTTTACAGCAACTGGGAGCACGCATCGACCAAAGTGGTTTTGTAGAGGCCGTCCATGGGTTTTTCCATCTCCCTTCCTTGGGATGGTTTAAAATCCCATTCGCTGAAATTTTAGTTGAATCACATTTATATTTATATAGACATGTATAGACATTAGACATTATATATATATGTATATATACACATTTAAATATATAGTTATACGTACCTGTACAGTATGTATAATAATATATATACACCTTCATGTAACATTTATGTATAGTATTCTTTTAGGAGGGGAGGTGGCTCAGCCGCCAATCAGAATGTTTCATAATGTTTCTTTTCTGGAAATCTCTGGGTTAAATGTAATACAAAAAAATATGTATTTAGTTAAACTAGAAGACAATATTTGAAAAGTAATACATGCATACAGGAAAATATGTATGTTTATACACATGTGTTTTCTTAGACTATAATACAAAATATATTTTGTTTAAATATTTTTTAACCAGCTGGATTGAAAGCCAAACCTAAGGAATAAAAAAAACAAATACAACCTTATGAAATCTTATGAAATCTTATGAAATCTTTTGAAATCTTTTGAAATCTTATATGTTTTCATAAGATTTCATAAGATTTCATAAGATTTCATAACTTTTTTTTTATTTTTTGGAAAAATGAAATATTTTTTCTAGAACCAGCGTCTGGGACATGTGTGTATGTTTAGGATTCTGGCCCAAACCAGTTAGAGTGGGTAGGCTTGGCCCCCCAAAGTCAATATGGGACCTAAAAAGGTCATTAAGAAGGCAATGAAAAAGAGCCTTGGCAAAGGCCCCAAGCCCTTGAAACAGGGCAAAAAAGGTGCCACAGCATTGCAGTCTATCTTGAAAAAGAGGCCTGCCACAAGAGCCAGTGCACCTTTGAAAAAAGGTAATCTGGCAAAGCTGGGGCAGATGAGCTTGAAAGAAAAGGTGGATGCAATCAATGGAGAAAATATGGATGAAGAAGAGGCAGTGACCCTCTTCAAGGATTCCCTGACACCTGATGAGGGGTCACAGGTTTGGGGTCAACACCAAACATACCTGAAGAAGAATCCCTTGGAAAAGGGAGAGCATGACTCCTTAGGAAAAAAGGAGAAAGGGCTGGCAGTGGCACTCTGGTATTTGAAAAAATCCAGGAAGACTTTCCACAATGTCAGCCACAGCATGGACCAAAGCACCATGTACACCAGAAAGGAGAAGTGGCTGAGTGAAAAACAAATCTATGACCGGCTCACTGAATATGAATTGGAGTGTCACCTGAACTCAGGAAGGGTCATATGGAGGCATGACCCTTTAACAAGGGGATGCTTTGAATACCAAGATTTAGGTGACTACACAGCCAAGGTGAATGTGTGCAAAAGAAGGTCCATCACAGCTGGGTAGGAATATGACCCCACAGAGGATGATGAAACCGCTTTCCTGGAAGAGTTCTCAAAAGACACCAACCTCCAACTGAAGAATGCAGAATCCCTCGCAAAAGGAGACAAAGGCAAAGGAAAGGGTGCCAAAGGCAGTGGAAGTGGGCAGAAAGGCCTTGGGAAAGGCAAAGGGAAGCACCAGCAGCTTGCCCTAGAAGATAAGAAAGATTAGAGCCCAGAAGAAGAATGGGAAGATGCTTTGGGAAAAGCAAGAAGGGCCAGAGATTTGGTGTCCACCAAGCAGTGTGAAGTGGAAGAGGCACTTGCAAAAGTGCCCAAATCCTTTTTGTCAGCTGGCTTGAAAAAGCCCACTTCCCAGTTCCAAAAGAAGCTGGAAGACATGCTCAAGAAATTGAAGGGGTTCCTGCTGAAGGAGTACAGCCAGAAGACATTGAACGACATCAAAGAGTGCCTCCCTGAGGCAGCAACCTTGATAAAGGATGTGAAGGCCCACAGCAAAGAGTTGACACACATGTCCAACAAAACCATGAGCAAAACCAGCTCCAAAAAGTAGGCATTGCCCAAGCCCTTTGGCAAAAGGGCACAATCTTGGCCAACCTAGCAATAGGAAAACCCCTGGCAACAGGGATGCCCCTAGCAATAGGGATGCCCCTAACATGAGGGATGCCCCTAGCAATAGGGATGCCCCCTCACCTGAAGGGGATGGTGCCCAACAATGGCAATGTGGGGAAAAAAGGGAGCATGGTAAGGGCACATATATATACATACATGCACATAGAAAGAAATAACTCCAGGGCTTCCCCCATGGGTTTCATATGTTTTTTTCATTTTTTCACCACCAATTACCCCTAAAGTAGGTCAGCAACTGCAGCCTTTTGGCTCAATTTAGACTTCCAGGCTGTGCCTTGCGGGGGGTGTCTCCAGCTATGGGCAAAGAAGAAGGCAGCCATAGAGGAGTGAAAAGGATCAGGGGCTGGAGAAAAGAGATAGCCTTGGGAAAGGACAGCATGGATGACCCCTTGCCAAAGGGGAAGTCCCAACTAGCCACAAAGCTTTTAGCTTTATGGGCTCATGGCATGTTGTCTGCAATTGCAATTCGTGAGATTGCAGACTTAGCAATAAGGGATGGTGCAAACCATGAAGAACTTCACCTCCTTGCAAAAGGGTGGAACTTTGGAGCCCAGCCAGGAAATGTTAGCAAATCTATCATGAACACTTTTTGCAAAGGCATCAAAGTTTGCAGCCCACACCCTGTCAAAGTCCAAGTGCAGGACTTGAAGACCCTTGAAAAAGGATGGGAAACTATGGATGTCATGCTCCCACACCTCATGTTTGAAGCATTGCAGAGCTACCCTGCAGTTTGGGAGCAAATGTGGGATGTGAAGCACCTTCAAGGTTTTTGGGCCAAAACCCTTGAGAAAGGAGATGATAGAATCAGATGGCACCCTTGCACCCTTGTCAAAGGGTGGCAGTCCAAGACATTTCCATGTTTTATCCATGGAGATGGTGTCGGGTTTCAGACAAGAGATACCATGATGTGTTGGTCATTTGGAAATTCATTGTATGACCAAGGGTCTTTGATGTCCCACCTCTTGTGTGCAGCCTTCCCCAAGAGCTGCACCACTGACCAAACCTGGGACCCAGTGTGGGAGGTCCTGAAGTGGTCATTTGAAGCCCTTGCCAAAGGGAAACATCCAATGACTTCCCCAGATGGTAAGCCTTTGGAAAAAGGTTCCCCTTTTTGGGAAAAAAGGGGCCAATCTTTGTCACCACAGGGCTACAGATTGATTGTGTGGCATATCTGTGGTGACCACGAGTTTTTCAGCAACACATTGAAACTAGCACATTGGAGGCATAAGGATTGCTGCTGGGCCTGTGATGCAACCCAATCAGATGGCCCTAGGCCATATACCAACCTTGATTGGGATGCCTTCACTTTTCTGGACACAACCCTTGCAAAAGGGACAGCCCCTTCCCATCCAATTTTTCAAATCCCTGGTGTGACAACCAGGATGGTGAGGCATGACTCCCTCCATGTGCTGTTTACCAGGGGCCTCTATGGCCATATCCTGGGATCAATTCTGCATTATCTTTGTTATTACAACTTACCTGGCCAAACACAATCCGTGCAACCTAGTGATAGGTTGAGCATCATCTTTCAAGAAATTCAAAAATTACTTTACTTCGTGTGATCCCCACCATGACATTTATACATGTTCTTACTGGCACATCTTCTGGCATTCTATCTGACATATCTTCTGACATTCTATTTGGCATTCTATCTAGCATATCTTCTGGCATTCTATCTTCTGGCATTCTATCTGGCAAATCTTCTGGCATTCTATCTGGCATATCTTCTGGCATTCTATCTGACATATCTTCTGGCATTCTATCTGGCATTCTATCTGGCATTCTATCTGGCATATCTTCTGGAATATCTTCTGGCATATCTATCTGGCATATCTTCTGGCATATTTTCTGGCATTCTACCTGGCAAATCTTCTGGCACGCTATCTGACATTTTATCTTCCTACATGAGGTCCGGCAGGGAACACTTGGCGTGGATACTCGCGGTTGAGGTCCGGCAGGGAACACTGGGCGTGGATGGTCGTGGTTGAGGTCCGGCAGGGAACACTGGGCGTGGCTGGTCGTGGCTGAGGTCCGGCAGGGAACACTGGGCGTGGATGGTCGTGGTTGAGGTCCGGCAGAGAACACTGTGGATCGCGGGTCGCAGTTGGACGAGGACGACGAGGACGACGAGGATGACAAGGATGACAAGGAGGACGAGGAGGAGGAGGAGAGGAGGACGAGGCAGGAGGAGGCGGAGGAGGAGGAGGAGGAGCAGGAGGAGGAGGCAACTGACATAAAATCTAACAACCCTCACCTGGCAGGTGGGGAACAATACACCTTGCAAAAGGTGGCTTGCAGGTTGACAAATCTGCACTTGAAGATGTTCTGCAAAAATCCAAAATCACCTTGGGTGCACTGGGCACATTTGGGTGCCAAAGGTGGTGAATGTAAACATTTGGCACCATGCCTGCTCCCAGTTTTGAAAGACCTCCTTGACAACTCCAAGGAAGAACATCCACACCTGGTGGCCTGCCTGGAAAGCATGGTCCAACTCAATGAAATCCTTGACAGCTGTGACCTCTTTCTTAAGGATGCTGAATTTGATGCATTCTTTGGCCTTGCAAAAGGCTTCGTTGAAGAATATTCATGGCTCCATGGCCACTTTGAAGAGCAGGGAAGGCCTCTGTTTCACATAGTGAACAAATCACACACCTTTTTGCACTGGTCCTGGGAAGCCTATTTCATAAACCCCAGGGCCCATACTTGTTGGAAGGGGGAGGATTTTGTTGGCCAAATGGCAAAATTGGGCCATTCAGTATCCTTTGGAGTCAGAACAACAAGATTATCCCAGAAGCTGATGGCAAAGTATCAAATTTTGTTACACCTCTTGTATACCAGAGAGCCTTCAGCATTCGACATCTTGGAAGATGATGGTGCCTGACCTTGCAAAAGGTCTGCCCACACACCCTTGCAAAAGGTTCTAGGCATAGATGTTTCACACCAGAGTCTCACCCTTAAAATCAATAGAAACATCAATAGCAGAGTTGCCAAAAAAATGCCAAAAAAAGGAAAAATACAGAAATTCTCTATTGATTTTGACCTTTGAAAACCAGCTTTTTTCTATTGATTTTTTAAAGCTCTGAAATCAATATTTTCTATTGATTTCAAATCCCAAAAAAAGTATGATTTTTTCCCTATTGATTGTAATCAATAGCGGATGCTCAGGGATCCATACATACCATTTTTTAAACATGTTTGTTTTTTGGACGTGTTTACATTTTTACATGCTTGCATGACAAGTTTACATTCTTACATGCTTACGGTTTTACATGTTCTCAACCATATGTCCATATATCCATACATTTGTAATCATTTGTACATACATCCATACATTTATACATCCATGCATACACATCATATACACATACACACATACACACATACACATACACACAGTTTTGTGTGGTGTATATACATATAGATATACGCACACTATCTACATTATGTATACATCAAATGTATTTGTATAGACGCATAGAGATATACATACAGGTGTTAATAGGTGTGCAGGTACAAGAAGACACATTTGCCATCGTTTGAAATCAAGTATACATACAAGATACAAAATTGCAAAGTTAACATGTTTCTTTATGCGGGTCCGAAACTTTGTACACGTTTGGTTCAGGGCACCATTGAAATACCAGATACAAGTCTATTGCAAACTGGTGCTCGAGATCCATGTTGGCAGCGCGAAGAATCTTGAAACTTCTTTGAGTTTGAGAATCCATAAAGTTGCCATTTGCACATATTTGCCGAAATGTAAACACACAAAATTATTCGTGTCCAACGAGGTACAACCTTTCTTTGGGGATATACATGGACATCCTTGGCTTATAGGAGTGATTACAGAGGATCATCGCCGGTGATCTCCGGTGATGGTGTTTGGAATCCCTTCCGGGGACTGTCTATGGTAAACCACGGCTACTTCAAACATTTACGGGGTTAAGAATACTGTAAATCCTTCCCAGATTGATTGAGGTTTACGTTATGAATTGCAGGTAGGACTATGGAAATATGTAAAATATTGTAAAATTATATAACAAATATATTTAATTATATATATATATACAATATACAAGTATGTATTATATATATATGTGTGAGCTCATTTATACATTTGCATCTTGGCTGTGTGTGTAAGTACTTCGTCCCCCATGGAAAGATCTGCCACGAGGCCGGCTATGTTGCTCCAAGTTCCAGCTGTACGGACCAGGGCGTCTTTGAAACGGCTGAAGCTGCGCAAGCTGCCTCCGTGGTGCAGGTAGCGAATGGGAAATTCCAGTGATGGTTGTTTTCAATTGTGTTCAAAAAATGGTGAGGGTCTCTAGGTTTTCTATGGTTTTATGATGGTTTTATGATGTTTGATGTCACCTTGCCCCCTCCTGAAATCCACACCTCGTCCTCCTGAGCTCCGCGCGGAGCGCCTGCAGCAAAATGAAAGAATCAAAAGGTCAGACGAAAGGTCAGATCGTATATCATCTAAAATGTTGGAATATGCATTGATAGAATGTCAGACAATAGAATGGCATATCAAATACAAGAGTATATGTCAGTTGTTGTCGATCACTCGAAGTATTTTTGTTGGCACCTGATACTTTGCAAGACTCATCATCATTGTCATAATCGCCATCATCAGCCAACCAGAACTTTGCACCATCCTGTTCGATGATGTTTTCCGGTCACCTACGATAAAGATATAGATTTATTGACCCGGCCCTGATTACTGTGACCGGCAGCCTGTTACAGAAAACACTGTGGTTGTCTTGTTTTCAGGAATGCATGTGAAGAAATACCTACAGAAAAAAATAAAACTTAACTTATCAGTGATGTTGTTCGTAGGTGTCCCATGTTGAAGGTGAAACATCCTTTGAAATGGTTTTATGATGCCCCCAATTTGAGTGGTGTGCACAGGACATGTATAGAAATATTGGACTCAGTTTGGGTGCAATTTCAGTAGGTTGGATTGGCTGAAGGTTAGATGCTTGAATAACTTGTTCGCTGGAAGAAACTTTATTTTGTTTTTCCAGGGCAATGGTTTTTCACCTTGCTTGAATTTTATTTGTGTTTGTAATGTCGTACCGTCGCACCGCACCTTCAAACCTGAAGTGGAAAGCGAACCCACCAGAAATGGTTAAAACACGTTCAAACAGATTAAAGCACTCGGGGAAAGACACTCGGGAAAAGACACTCGGGGAAATTGCTATGAACAGTTGCCCAAACATTGGTGACCGAGACCCATCTCTCGGCATGGTGTATTCACATGTATTCACCTTGTGAATACAAACCACAGCAGGTGATGCGATGGTTGGTTGGCCCGATTCCTGCCTGTTTCGTTTTGCTGGCATATCGGCTGCAATGGGCTATGGACGAGTTGGCAGGGGAAATGATCCTGAGGTTGCCTGAATATGCATTCATTCAAATATATTCAAATATGAGAATGTTGATATGTAAATGATTTGTTTCCTTGGATCCCGCGAAACACCTTACTTGTTTAGTTTCTTTGATGGAACAGAGCTGAGGGCAGGCTCAAAGGATTACGATAAAAGACATGGTTAAAGGAGTCCCTAAAACACTACGGATCCGAAGTTTCCCTGGGGTCGAGGCCATGTTTGCAGCTTGGCGCTTTCCCATCACACCAACCAGTCATGCAGAGAGGCACGGAGCATTTGGCAAGAAACCTCAGATGCTTTCTGGTCAACTTCAGTCGTTCTCGGCAAGTCCCCACACATCCCCCATTGCTGGTTCCAGATTGGTTAAATGGGGAATAAATTGCATGTGATGGTCGTAGTATGTAGTATGTGTTACAATCGTGTGGAATCCAGTTTGGGACCGTGTTCTACTTGGATTATTCTGGAAGTCCTGGAAGATCGTAAATGGTGGCTAACTCGTTTTTTTTCCCTCGGGACCCCGTAGACAAGTGCAAAATAATTACTGTAATGGTAACATCCAACAATACAGAAAAGATATACAGTATATGATGTGTATATATATATAATTATAATTAATTATATTATATAATATTATAATATATGCAGAAATATATCACCATAATGTACAGCTAGGTGAGCCCAATGCATTCCCTGCGTATCCGTTATTTTGGCTCAAGTGGAAAAGGCGCTCCGTAGCGCTCAGGTTTGTAAGTAAATAGTTTTGCATGGTAGCGAGAGAGGTTCGAGACAGGGATTCGAGCGATACAACCGAAACCCCAGATTTCGGAGGAGGAGAGGAGCCTGTGGCTCCTGGGCCCATTGTGGGGGCCGACGGGCCGACAGAGCCCGAACGAGCTCCGGAAGGAGGAGCAGAGGCCGCAGAGGCGGCCGAGCCCGAAGAAGCGGGCGACGGGCCGGAAGAGCCCGAGGAAGCTCCTGGAGGAGGAGCCAGTAGGCCGGAGAGAGTCTACGAACTTGGGATTGTGCCGAGGAGAGGTCCATTCCCAAAGGCAACCACCGCAAGTGGGTTTGTGCATACCTACTCGACGGTGGCACGGATCGACAAGGCCGAAGAAGAGGAAAGAGAAAGGATCTATAGAGAGAAAGCCGAGGAAAGAGCCAAAGGAAAAGGAGCCAAAGGAGATAAAGGAGCCGAAGCGAAGGGGCAAGCTGAGGAGTGGCTTGCGGAGAACCCCAATCGCCGCTGGAGGAGCGCAGAAGCACTCCAGAGAAAGAAAGACAAGAGAGCCAAGGGTAAAGGAACCGGAAAGAAAGGAGAAGGGAAGCCCGTAGTTGAGTACGGCGAGAACCTTCCAGAACATCTCCAACACATCGTGGACGCATTTGGTCCAGGAGGAGCTTCTAGCGGATCAGGAGCAACATCAACGGTCGATTTAAGACCGAGCGACCATCCTTCAACAGAGGCTGAGACCAGGGAACGGTCTAGGAGCCGAGACGATCCACCGAGATCGGAAGGAAAAGGGTCCGCAACACCGAAGGCGGTGGCCGGACGTGCTAGGAGGATTACAGTCCATCCCAGTACTACAAGGTTAGCTGAGGCTCGTGTTGCGCGCGGTGCGATCGGATCGGAAGCAGCCCTAGGATCCAACTATCGACAGCGAAGTGCTGCAGCTCAAGAAGCCGTTGCACAGGCACGTGCACGGGGCACTGTCGCGACTGCAATTGCTGCAAGGGTTTACCAAGCCGACGGGATCGACGAGGCTTGCTCATCTTGTGACGAACGCAAGACACGCCAGCGATCAGCAGTACATCGATTTGCATCCTCAGTTGTAGCAAAATCTCAGGCAAAAGCAAGAGCACGGAGGAGAGTCCCGGTGGCATTGAGACCTCGACGACAAAGACCACCAGGAGCATCTGAACGGTCGCAAGAGACCGAACCAGAGGCGGAAGGACCACCACCTAAACCCAAAGCGCAGGAAGCAAAGGCCGCAGGACCACCAGCTAAGGCTGGAGAGAGGACCTACTATATCGGCCGGAACCTGACGCTAGTGAATCCAACTCCAGAACGGTTGGAGCAAGCTCAACGGAAGTTTGAGCAGGAAGAAGCCCTTAGACGAAGGCAGAGAGAGGCCGAAGACAAAGCGGCCCGAGAGGAAAGAAAAGAGAAGAGAACCCTTGAGGAAAAGGCTGAACGGTCAAGGAAGAAGCCAAAGACCGAAGCCACAGCAGAACCTGTTGGGACTTCAGTTCTGAAGAGACCAGCGGCTGCCGTATCATCAGTTGAACCCAAGGCCAAGCCGAAGAAAGAGCATCCATCAGACAGTGAGTACACGTACACGTACACGGACACGTACGTGTGGGAATCTGAAGAAGAAGAAGAAGAAGAAGCGGCGGAGCAAGACGCCGTTGTGGATTACTTCTGATGGATCCTGCAGTGCAAACGGCGCTGCAAGAGCTTCAAGCTCAGGTACAGCAGCTTCAGGCTGAAAACGTTTCACTCAAGACAGGGCAGCAATCCCTGCAACAGGAAAATGAAGCGCTCAGGGCGCAGCAGACCGGGGTTGCAGAGATGGCCAAATCTCTTGGGGACTTGGCTAAATAATCTTTAGAAAGCAAAAGCGAAAGAAAAGATCGTAGGTTGTTGGTAGATACTAAGTGTTTAGGAAAACCAGAAACCTTCAACAACGATGAACAAAGTTTCCGTAGATGGGCTAGGACGGTTTGCAACCTTACAGTTGGGGTGTTTGGAAAAGAGTTTCAAGATGTTTTGGATTACTGCTTAGACCTTGAGGATGCGGTTGATTTTACAACCCTAGAAACCAAGTTTGGGGATGACAAGTGTGACCAACTCTATCGAGTGCTTAGCTCGTTGACCACAGGTGAGTCCGAAGACCTTGTGGTTGGATGCGCAAACTTGGCAGCTTCGGGATTTGAAGCTTGGCGGCGGTTGAATCGCCGGTGGGACCCGGTCAGAGCGGGTCGAAAAAGGAACATCCTTAGGGCAATACTCAATCCAGAACGTACCAAAACATGGGAAGGAGTTAGGCCGGCAGTTGAACAATTTGATGATTTGATCCGGAGGTATGAGGCCCGAAAGAATGAAAGCGGGCAGAGGGAGACCCTCGGAGATGACATCAAATGCACGGCCATAGAACTCCTAGTACCCACAGATTTGGAAAAGCATCGGATTCTCAACAAAAGTAGATTAACATCCTATAGCCTTATCAAACAGGAAATTGAAGTTTTGATGGAAACCATGTTGGGTTCGAAGGGAAAGATCCACAGGCCGGGATCAGCAGCAGCGTCAAGCCAAGGACCAGCGCCTATGGAGGTCGACTCCCTCGCAGCATGGCTGGGTTCCTTGGTGAAAGGTAAAGGCAAAGGTAAGGGAAGTAAAGGAAACAAAGGTGGTAAGAATAATGACAAGGACATGACCTGTTTTAACTACGGTAAACAGGGACATAAGGCTGCAGACTGTTGGAGTAAGAAGAAAGACGGTTCTAAAGGCTCAAAAGAAGGAAAAGGAAAGAAAGGCTCAAGCAAAGGCTCAAGTAAAGGCTCAAGCAAAGGCTCAAACGATGGCAAGAAAGGAAAAGGAAAAGGAAAGCCGAAGAAACATGCATCGGCCCTCGATGAGGCCGGACAGGAAGAAGATGCCGAGTATGAAGCGGGTGACGAACCCGAAAATGAAGAGGTTGGCACTTTCGAAATGAATGGTGTCACTATGAATTCGGAACCACATGATTGTGGTGAGTGGACCAAATTCAACTTGGACACAGGTGCCGCACAAACGGCAATTCCAAAGTCCTGGAACGCCATCCAATGGACGCCAGGAACCACTGTGACGTTCAAGACAGCATCAGCTGAATTGGTTCCCAGTGAAGGGACTGGATCCTATGTAGGGTCAGACGAAAATGGACTTCGATGCAAAATCACCGGACCAATAGCCAATGTGCACAAACCGCTGGTATCAGCCTACAAGTGTCTGAGCAAAGGCCGTCTGGCAGTTCTTGACGAACACGGAGGCCACATTTTGCCTTTGAACTCAGCAGCGGCAAAGGACATCCAAAGGATCTTGAAGAAGGCCGCAGCCAGCGAAAAGCGCAAATGGCTTAAGTTGTATCAAGAGAGAGGCATCTATAACTTCTACTTGCAAGGAAAGTCACCGGTGGGTGAAAACCCCGAACAGGGTTTTGGCCGGCAGCGGAAGGACGTGTAAGTCCGACCAGAGAATTAGGAGCGGCTGCAGGTGAAGCGGCCGAGGCACCACCTAATCCTCCAGGCCGACCTGGGGATGAAGGTGAGGCTGGTGAGGAAGTTGAGCTGGAGGAGATGGCTCAACCCATTCGAATAAGAGCACCTACGGATCCGACACCCGAAGAGGTGGAGGAACATGAGAGTACAGGCCATGTGCAGTATCGCACGTGGTGTCGGCACTGCGTTGCCGGAAGGGGTGCTGGACAGCAGCATCGGACTCGGGACGAAGAAGCCCGGAGTCAGGACGGGATACCAATGATATCCTGCGACTACACGTTCATGACAGTGAACGGTGAGGATGATGGGAGAGCAAAACCCATCTTGGTGATGAAGGACAGCCGAACTACGTCAGTGGCTGCTACCTTCGTGGACGCGAAGGGTCCGACACCGTATGCGGTGAAGTACTTCAGCAACTTCTTGAAAACCCTCGGGTATAAGAGAGTGTTGCTGCAGAGCGATGGGGAACCATCGATCGTTGCACTTAAGGTGCAGGCCGCAACGGCGGCTGGTGTGGAAGGAGTTCCACGTGAATCTCCAGTGGGAGATCATCAAGGCAATGGTCAAATTGAGCAGGTGTGCAAAGAGATAAAGATGCACATCAGAGTTGGAAGATCAGCTTTGGAAGAGAAGCTGGGACAGCCCTTAGGTGACACAGATCCCATGCTGGCCTGGATGCCACGGCATGTGGGAGATCTGCTGAATCGGTACCGCAAGGGCAGGGATGGAAAGACGCCAGAGCAGAGGCGTTCAGGAAAGCGCTGGAGGAAGCCAGCAATAGCTTTCGGAGAGAGGCTTTACTATAGGCCAGTTGGAACGGCTGAGAGGACGCCGTTGAAAGTGGGCCGATACATCGGTCATCATGGAAGAACTGGGACGTTGTTACTAATGACGGACTCAGGAGTGGTCCGAGGACAAGGTATCCGGAGACTTAGTCCAGCGGACCAATGGACGACGGAGGACTTGAGGGAACTCCGAGGACTTCCTTGGGAAGTTGCAGCAAGAAGGCCAGTAGAGCGCGGAGAAGCTTTGATTGGCGAAGCCAGGCTAGAAGTGCCTGCTCCTGCGAGAGTGGCTTTGGTACCACCAGCACAGAGGAGAGTTTACATCAAAAAAGAAGATGTGAACAAGTATGGGAGCACCGCAGGGTGCCCAAGATGTACATGTGTGTTGATGGATGAACCAACTGTGGTTCCACACACAGAGGCTTGCAGAGTCAGGACAATGGAACTCATGCAAGGAGATGAGCAGGGCCGCGCAAGGCTCGAGGCTCACGAGAAAAGAAAGAAGAAAAGGCAAGGCACCACGGAAGGAGCAGTGGCTCCAGTGGTTGAGAGAGATGTGGAAGCCCATGAGGCAATTGGAGGACCAGACCAGGGTCCTGCTACTGAGGAGGAACAACCAGTGTTCCCAGATAATCCGGAAGAGCGGATTGAACTGAAGAGGTCTCTGGCTGAGCGAGCAACAAGTATCAGACAAGAGAAGAGGCCCAAGGCATCACAGCCTAGTAAGAGGCCAGGGGCATTGACAATCGGAAGCGGACCGCCATTGGCTAAGCCAAAACCGAGTCCGACTCAAGGTGAAAAGAGACCAGCTGAGACAGCTGTTGAGACACTCCGTGAAACGGAGGCTGATGGTCTACTAGCATCACAGCCGGGCACTTTGCCCGAGGGAGCCCAGATGGAAACGGGAGCTCTGACGAAACAGAAGAAAGTTTTCAAGACACTGATAAAACGTCAGGTCTTGGACACATATGAGTTGAGAGGTTTGACGATCAATGAAGAGGACGCAGACAACATTGCAGAACTGAGTTGTCAAATGTGTGCAGTGGACGTGATGGAAATCTACAGTCCGAAAAGGTTTACAGAAGCGGCGACAAGATACCGACTGAGACCAGGTTTCGCCGTAGACTTGACTGAACAGAAACCGGACGGATCCTATTGGGATCTGACAAAGTCCGAAGATGTAAAAGAAGTTGAGCGGATTGTGGAAGATGACAAACCAGAACTGCTGACAGGCAGTCCACCGTGCCATATGTTCTCCCAACTTCAGAACATATGTTGGCACAAGATCAGCCCAGAAGTCCGTGAGAAGCGGATGACTGAGGCGAGACGTCACCTGCATGTCAGCTGCAAAATGTACAGAAAGCAGCATGACGCAGGCCGAACGTTCCTACATGAAGCACCGTGGGGAGCATCAAGTTGGAAAGACCCTGAAGTACAGGCCATTTTGGCACTACCAGGTGTCAAGCTGGTACGTGGACCAATGTGCCGGTGGCACATGATGGCGACCGACAAGCGCGGTCTCCAAGGGACCGGTTACGTTCGAAAGGAAACAGGTTGGCTGACAAACGACGAAGACCTAGCCGAGCTCTTACAAGGCGAGTGCACTAATAAGACTGGAGGTGAATGGCACAGACACATCCATCTTATTGGTGGCATTTCAAGAGCAGCGGCAGAGTATCCACCAATGTTAGTCAAGGCTGTACTTAGATGGCTAAAGGCCAAGCTGGTGCGGAGTGGAGAACTAGGCTCCACTGAAGCAAACACCAGCGGACCCGTTCCAGAGGAGCCATTTGTCAATCAAAAGGAATTTGAAGAATGGTATTGGGACGATGTGAATGGCGGATGGTTAGCGCCAGAAAAGGTCCGTGAGGCTAGGAAGTTGGAAATGGAATACTTGAAGAAACAAGCGGTTTACGAGAAACGACCGACTTCCGAAGCTTTCAAAGTCACAGGCCGGAAGCCGATACCGGTCAGGTGGCTGGACACAGACAAGGGAGATCCAACCAAACCTAACTTCAGATCACGACTTGTAGTGAAGGACATCAAGGCAGCAAAATCGGAGAGTGAGCAGTTACCTCAGAACTTGCTGTTCAGCTCGACTCCACCCTTGGAGTCAATGCGGTTGCTCTGTTCACTTATGAGCACCCAAAAGCTGTCAAAGAGAGGACAAAAGCTGAAGCTAGGACTATGGGACATCAGCAGAGCACACTTCTATGGTATTCCGAAAAGGACCATCTACATCGAGTTGCCCGATGAGGATGCGTCGTACACGGAATCTGGTGAGAAGGAGTGTGGTCTATTGATGAAGTCCATGTATGGGACGCAGGACGCACCCAATATTTGGATTATTTGGCAGAGGCATTACACCGGCTTGCTGGAATCGGCTAACATAAAGCGAGGCCGTTCAAACGCAAGCGTGTTCTATCGTGAAAGTGATGGAACAAGGATCGTCGTACACGGTGACGACTTTCTGGTATTGAGCGACAGCCAAGGACTACAGGAGATCGATGACCTGTTGCGGAGTGCATACGAGCTGAAACGGCTCGGCACTTTAGGGTTCGAAGAAGGTGACGACCGAGAAATCCATTTTCTGAATCGCTTGATCAGAGTTGGAAAGCACAACGGTCGACAAACAGTTTTCTTAGAACCGGACAGGAGACATGTAGATCTTTTGATCCGAGAGTTGGGTCTGGAAACAGCAAAAGGAGTGGACACACCCGACGTGAAGAAGTCGGTGGACCAGCAGATGCTGGAATCAGCGGAAAAGACCTCGCAAAGACATACCGGTCATGTGTGATGCGAGCGGCATACCTATCGCAAGACCGCCCTGACATTTCACACACAGTGAAAGACCTCGCACGGGGAATGGTCAACCCTACTGAGGCCAAGTGGAGCGATCTTAAAAGGCTGGGTAGATTCCTCAAGAAGTACCCAGACTTCACTCAGATCTTTGCGGAGCAACGGATGCCAAGCAGTATCCGAGTGCAAGTGGACAGCGACCATGCGGGTTGCGCTGTCACCCGAAGATCTACGACCGGAATGATAGCATTGTTCGGAGTACATACGCTCAAACATGCTAGCAATGTCCAATCGACCATATCTCTTTCCACAGGCGAAAGTGAGTATTACGCCTTGGTGAAGGGAGGAAGTACAGCGTTGGGCATACAATCGCTGTTGCAAGATCTAGGACTTGATCTGCCAGCAGTGGTAGAGTCCGATTCCAATTCGGCAAAAGGAACGGTGAGCCGAATAGGACTGGGAAAAGCGAAGCACATCCAAACGAGGTATCTATGGCTGCAAGAAAGAGTGGCCATGAACCACTTGAAGGTTGTGCATGTACCTGGGAAGAGCAATCGGGCAGACGCATTGACCAAAAGCGTGCCCGGGGTACAAATGCGCAACACAATGGAAAGATCAGGTTACCTATACCTGACAGAGCGGAGCAAGGGTCAGATGAAGCTATTGGACTCATAGTCCAAAGGCCCTGGCCAGACTCCACTACCTAGGAAGCCAAAAGTATAGATGTATAATATGGTAGTAGCGCAGGTAGAGAATTGTACAGTACCGGCGAACTGGATAAGCCAGTTCTTAGGTAAGGAGGAGTGCAGAAATATATCACCATAATGTACAGCTAGGTGAGCCCAATGCATTCCCTGCGTATGCGTTATTTTGGCTCAAGTGGAAAAGGCGCTCCGTAGCGCTCAGGTTTGTAAGTAAATAGTTTTGCAATATATATAGTTAGTAGATAGTAATCCTATGTTTATAATCCCCTATCCCAGCACCCAGCATAGCATATATACAATCCCGCACCCCCGCACCCAAACCATCAACAAAACCAAAGCAACCAAACAGCAAACAAATAAGCAATACCCAAAACAAAACAACAACCCAACAAACAAAAAAACAAACAAAGCAAAGAACAACATAAAAAACCAAACAATAAACAACAATAAAGATAAACCCCTACCCTTTAATAATCCTATCTTTTCTCCCGCCCACATCCCAGCACACACCATGACCCACACCAAACCTCATAACCCAGCACCCAGCATAGCACATACAAAAAAAACAACACAGACAACAACAAGAACAAAAACAAAGCAACCAAACAGCAAACAAATAAGCAATACCCAAAACAAAACAACAACCCAACAAACAAAAAAAACAAACAAAGCAAAGAACAACATAAAAAACCAAACAACAAACAACAATAAAGATAAACCCATACCCTTTAATAATCCTATCTTATAAATCCATCATTCTAATAGATTTTATTATTAGAACGATGTAAATTCATTTAACAAATTATTTATACTAAATTATCTATTCTGTAATTCTCAATCTAAAATGAAATGCTCGTATTCCAATCACATTATATTGTGCTTGGTAGTCTTTAATTTCATCCATTAATTCTTCTTCTATATCCTGTAAAGCAGGAAAACTATTGTCTTCATTAATTTCATCAACGCACGCTAATGCCTTTTGGTATTCAAACCCTTCATCTTCATATTCTTTATTCGGGTCTTTTACTACAACATCTGCCTTAACTCTAAGTTTGGCACCGAAATTTTGTTTGTCTTCAACTTCTTCATATATCAAAGAAAGCAACTCTCTTTCTTGTTTCCTTATAACCCTTTTAAGACTTTCAATTTTGAATGGCACATCTCTAATTACCAAATATTCACTTCTGGTATATTTACGATTGTTATTTGTTCTTAATTTGTATGCTGTAAATTCTGGTTCTGTTGTATTTATTTTATTTGTTTTGTATTCTCCTCAATGTTTTACTATGTTTTATTTTTACATATTCAGGTTCTCCGATTGTATAGGATACAACTTTACTCAACACATCAGCAGGTAATATTATCTAATATATATATATATAGGTAATATCTCTTTAAGTAGTTTAGGATTTTTTAGACCTTTAAAAGGTCGTGCCGTAATAGCGGTCTGGTATAATCTGTAAGTGTATAATATTTCTGTCCTAATCTCTCGTTGATTGCTTCCACTATATATTCACCTTTCAAAAAATTGCTTGTCCTCTCTTTCTCTGTAATTGCTTTCTTCCTCCTAATCTTAACTTTATCACCCACAAATAATTCTGGATAGATTTTTTCCTTCTTTGCTTTGGATGCTACATTCACCATTGCTTTAAATTCATTCTCTTTCTTCATTGCTTGTTTTGGTGTCATCCCAGTAGCGGAGTGTTTCATTTTATCATTATATGTCAGCATGATTTCTAAGATATAATCCACCCACTGTATGTTCTCTTTCCTTTCTTCTCATCTGCCTCTACTCTTTTAAATAGCATATCTTTAAACGTGCGTATGAAACGCTCAGCAAAAGCAGGGTGTCCTCTTGTTCTGTATAATTCAATATTTTCACCTTCAACATAGTCTTTAAAATCACCTCCTGCTATTGCTCGTTCATCATCGGTATATATGATTTTCAGTTTCTTACCCATTTTTCCTAATGCCTTTTTTGTTGCTTCAATGACATCAGGTTCATTCTTGGTTTCAATTGGAATTACTACGGCATACTTGCTTAAAATATCAATACATACCAATCCTCCTTTAAACTTTTGTTCTTCATCAAAATCATAATACCCCATAAAAATAAGTCAATCTGATAAGTATGATTGTTATGAGGTGCTACAAAACTATTCATTCCTTTCTGCTTCCTCTTAATCTCAACATTTTTTCTAAAAAACTCATCAACATCTTTCATAGTAATAGTTTTGTCTTTCTCTCTGGCATCTTTTAAAGTTGTTGCCTTGCTTCCAAAACCGCTTCTATCATTATAAATATCACTAATAACCTTCTGTTTGTCAGAACTTTGTCCCGAGGATGCTTTGGCATCGTCAGTCATATATTTATAATGATAGTTTATTTGAAAAAGCGCAATTACACTGATGACACATTGGAATACAATTACTCTTAAAATGTGCTATTTCATTATCCACTCTTTGGCAGGTTATATTAGATACAATGTTGTCATTTTCAAAATCTATTGTCAAAGGTTCATTACAATTCTGGCAGTGCTCGTTTATCATATTCATCAAATATTTTACATCAACATAGTCATCAGTTTCAATCTCCCTACCTGCCTTCTGGTCTTGTTCTTTATAACTCATCACTTTATTTCTGAAATATGTTTCTACTTTCATTTGGGTTAGGTTATTGTCATCAGTATCATATTTGTAAAACTTAACCCTGCTTAAATCTCTACACCGTGTTATTGAAGTCCAATACCAGTTAGGACAGCAACACCACAAACTCCAATCATAAATCACAATATCATCATCTACGCTACACCCTTGTCTTGAGTGAGTGGTATAACAATAGGCATATATGAAGTTCTTTTGTAATAACTTTCTTACTATTCCCTGCCTCTCACCCGTTGCTACATTTTCAAGTTCAAACTTGTCGCCATCAATACTTACAATCTGATATTTAATATTTACATTAATTTTTTTTGCCATTAGTCTTAGTATATTTCCTACATATTAAGAATTCACCCTCAATATATTCATCCTTAATACCTTTCATATCCCTAATCTTCTTACTTACCTTCTTACATGTATTATTTGTATATGCTATGTTGTTTTCGCAAATTTCATTTCCCTCACTCCATCCAAAATACTTCTCAATGACATTCAGTATAGGTTCTTTTTATTCAGTATCATATCTTTAATATCATAAAGTTTCTTCTTGTCTTCTTCATTCTTTAACCTCTTACACTCATACAATTTAATATTATTTTCAAAGATTAAGTCTATACAATGGTTGGCGTAATCCTCAAATGTAAAAAACATCACTGACCCTCTCAGGGTTCTTCAATTGGTTCGTATCACCAGTTGCTACTACAATCTTGTCAGGATTGTCAATACAAAAGTTCCAAATTAAAACCCATTTGGCGGGGTTATGGAAATAAATTTCATCAAACACAATGGCATCAACACCAGAATAATCACACTTCTCCAATCTCTCATCTCCATAACTTATCCCAAAAAACTTATTGATAGTCATTGCCTCTACTCCACATTCCTGTTTTAGATTATTGGTAGGGACAACAAACAAAACATTATAACTTCTCTGCTGTAAGTGCTTACATATAAAACTCTTGCCCGTGCCCGGAACGCTTCCGCGTATCATCAGTCTTCCAGTTGGTAATATATGGTCGCCAATAATCTCATCAGTGTCATATTCATTTTTCACTGTTCCAGTTTTATTAGTATATTCAGTTATATCGACTATCTTGCTGGCCTGCCTATGAAATGGTTGATTAGGAAAAATAAATTTGTGGTTATACTTCCAGTCTCCAATGGCATTACTGAAATTCAATAACCCCTGTGCCTTCTTCAAATTAAACATATCAATTACAAAAGCATCGGTCTTAACCGAATATACATTAATACCATTCTTCTACAGTGTTTCATAAGCAGTATTCATAGCGTGGTTATGGTTTTGTAAAATCAATTCTTTTATATATCTATACCCGTTCTTCAATGTTTTAGTATCAGATATGTTTAAAACATAATGTTTATTCTGACTAATGATGTTAGTAAAACCGAATTCATCCTCCTCATCATCTCTCTCAATCTCATTAATGACATTGATATTTCCACCGTATATTCCTTGATAATAAAGGGCATCAACCATTTTATAAAATATAACTGATTTTTTAACAGTGTTGCTTTGCTTCTCTAACAAACCGATATTAATATTAAACAACATCTTTTTAATCTTCTTATCTTTAACCTCATCATCATCAAATTTCATATTCCATAAGTCTAGG